AGTTTTTGGGTGGTGATTTGCTGATCTTTGAAAATCAATACTACATTGGTGTCATGTTAATCAGTAAAAGTAAAATCAGTGATAAATGTGGATTTTAGTAAAAAAAAAAACACAAAAAATATTTATTTAAATTTTATTTTTTATTCATTTTATCTTAGATTATAACGTTTTAGATTGGTTTAGTACAAAATTATGACAAGAAAATACAACAATATGTGTAAGAATTGTAATCTGAAATGGAGTAATATTATTTCTAGATTTCAAATGACTTTTAAGAGATTTTTTTATTTGAAAGGCTACTAAAATACATCTGAAAAATCATCTTTGGAGTCCACAGACTCAAACAATCCACTTAGGACAGTTATCAATTAAAAAATGTAAAAATATATATAATTTGTATTTTTTTATGAAAAAGCCTTAATATATCCAGTATTTTGCCAATCTTATTTTTAGCTTAATTGGCTCATGTGCTGTACAAAAATAAAACCTCTTCTAAGCACGTTTTGCTATCTGCAAATTACAGGTTAAGAACAAAAATGATATATGCTTAATAAATTTGCAAAACAATTATTAGTTTAATTTCTCAGATTTTAACATTGTATTTTAATCTGAAACAAAAATTTTATTTACTGAAAAGACATAAAAGTATGTTTACAAAAGTCTAAAGCATAAAAATGTTTAACCCCATATAAATATGTATATAATTCTAATGTAAATTACTTACAAATAAACAAACTTTTGTTTTTTTGTTTTTTACAAAAAGTAGTATTTACTGTATTTTTCAGATATTTAATTGTTGATTAAAATGTACTTAATTTTTTCTTTACAATAATTGATAAAATAATTGATAATAGATGAAAGAGGATAGTTTTATAGCATGGAAAATGACTCAAATGTTTAAATAAGTTCACTTGCCTGGAGGAAGAACCGCTCTTGGTTCTGGTACGGTTCCATATATGGTTCCTTTTTGACCCCCATCCTGAAGACCCACAGGTGCCAGTTCAGGTCCAGGCTGACGGTCGGTGTATCTGGCAGCAGGAAGTGCTGGAGCTGACTCTGGATTGGACTCAAGGTTTAGCTGTGTCTGTTTGTACATTTTGTTTTGTAACACAGGTGAATGCAGCTGTTGGTACTTGTCATTGGCCTCCTGGTAGTGGACACCACCGGTAGCACTGGGAGCAGCAGGTACTTCACCTGGAGTTATAACCTGCTGATGTATTCCACCCTTCACTGATGCTGCAGTCTGTTGTTGAGAAGGCAGAACTCCGCCTTTAAGGCTTTTACCATTTGGTACATCTGCTCCTCTTAAAGCTTGACCTTTTCCATTAACCAATCCATAGCCTGAAAACCAAAAAAAGAAATAATTTACAAAAATCCTGATACATTTTAAAATGCTGTTTTCTAAAACTTTTTTTTTTTTTTTTAGAAAAAGCTAAAAAAAAAACATTTGAAATTAATAAAAGGTGCAAATACAGACAAATCTATGCTTTCTAAAGAAGAAACGGTAAATGCTTTATTAGTCATGTGTTATGTAAACAGCCAAGGCAAGAAAAAGGTATTCTCATTCAGAGCCATTCAAAAATTAGACAAAATTAGAAAATTTGCATTTTCTGATATGACACATTTCAGAGGGATTTACTTGATAAACCTAAATCTTTGTAAAGAGGACATACCCTCAGGTCTGGGTCCTTGCCCCCCCTGTGCAGCAGCTCTGCTAACTCCTTGGCCTTACACATGACATTACCAAGTTGCCACGAAGATTGGAAAACATAAAATAAGGAAAAGTAAAAAAAATTTTCAACCAATAAATGATAAAAATTTAAATTCATCATAACAACACTCAAACAGTCAAATAATAATTATAAAACCAGTCACCATTTATTTGGGGACCAAATCCTTTGACAGCTCCAGCAGCAGCTCCATAACCTTGGGTTAAACACATAAAATACACGCTCAGTTATCGTGGTATAACAGTAAACCAGGAAATATTACATCTCATAATGATTAAAAGTTGATCCAGTACCTATAGGGTTGTATCCATACCCATTTGGACTTGCTCCGTTTGAATACCCTTAAGATTAAATGCATAAATAAAAGAAAAGTCCGTAAGAGTTTCACAACTTTTAATAAAATCTTGAACCATGAGCATTACCTTGTTGAGGCATTGCAGCAACTCCCCTGGAATTTCCATACCCTTCATTTACCAAAAGATATTTAATTATATTATAATTGCTCATAAAAGACACACAAAAAACATGTTTAATAAAGTGTTAGCATACATAATATGCATGTCAAAATCTTATTGCAAGTCTGCAAGTGCGATGCATTTCTTAATTCCCTAGGAACACCAACTCCACTGGGCTGTTGTTGGTGTGTAATTTTACATATTCCTACCCCCAATAAGATGTGGGGTTTCCATTTAGCCTGCTTTGAAAAATTAAAGCCTTCTTTATGTGGTTTTGGCCTTATTATAGGTGCTCAAATAATTTTGATTGATATAAGGGTTAGTGTTAGGGTTAGACAGAGAATATGTACTGGCTGCTGTAGCCACCTGTCTTTATTTGCATTTTTGCCTGATCTAAAATCCAGTGATGCTCCCACCAAAGCGCTGAACTTGAAAAGTGGAACATTTTTAGGTCACTTCTGTCTCCCTTAGACTAACTCAGAACTGCTCGCATTTTGAGCCAAATAATCAACAAGTCTTATCAAAATAAAAGGCAACCATGTTGGCTTCTGCTTTGCACTTTGGTTATGTGCCGCTTGTAAAAACAGCGTAAAAAGTGAGTCAGATATACAGTAACTCTGAATGCAGAAAGCAAACAGTCCTGCAGAAACTTCTATTTGCATGAAAGATCTGTCGATACCAGAAAAATTTAACCGGCTGATCATTTATTGAGCAAGTTAATGGGTCAGAATTACGCTATACATCTGACATTAGTTTATTTTGTTACAGCACTTAAAGGCTATTTAATTTCAAAGAATATAAAGCTGAAGCAAGAAGTGTAGATACATTTTGTGAAAAAACATCTAATCTCTTTTTAATTCTCCTAGTATCTATAATTGAATCAGACTGAATTTCTTCTTTGTTTGTTTTTCAGAAAGAGTTACATAAAATATGCCTGTTTGTGAAATGCCAGGTGTATTTTCAGGGAAAAGGACAAATGCATTCTTGAATCTTTCATATGATAGATATCAGACAGAAATGTGTGGACTACAAGGCTGGCTCATGCAATTTCCTGAGGGTGGTATGGTAATCTCTATTCAAACAGTTAAAGCATAAAATGCATCAGAAATATGCTGACTGCAAATACTGCATGATAAGACAGCTGAAAGTTAGGAAATGCACTTAGACAGTCAGATGTGAGAAATGCTCTTACCTTTAGAAATGGCACCTCGACCATTGAAGTGATTGGAAAATTCTGTTAAAAAGAAAATTGAAATAATCATCAACAATTTAACATTTGGAATAAAAATGAGGGGTAAAACAGAACAATTATAAAATAAATCTTTAGTGCACATGGGGAATGTGCTAAAACAATCACCTGTTTTAGCAGCCTTTGCAGCTCCTTTGTTTAGGTTTCCATAACCTAAATAGTTACACAGAAAATGAGAATTAGTATGAATCTGACCCCATATATCTAATAATACCAATAAATATAGAAACTACCATTTGGCATGGCTCCATTACCATTTGGTGATCTGACTCCAGCACGACCTTTCGAATGATTTAGGACAGTTAAAATTGTTATTTTGTTTTTTTTTGTTTTATAGAGCATCATAAATAATATTTACCATTCAATTGTGAACCTTGTCCGTTTACTATACCAGCTGATCCATCATAACCTAAAAAATATATATTTTCACTCCGTGCTATGTATAAAAACATGGTCAGGAAGTATTTTTTGTTCTGCAGAATCATACCTTTCATTGGCCCCTTTGCTCCATTTCCATACCGAGGTCCCAGACCCAAACCAGCACTGCCATAGCCGCCATTGAAACCTTTAAACATTGTTTAAATATAAGAAGTGCCTTTAAAGACATTTATACCTCTAAATGTATTTTTTAGTTTTTGGATTATGAAAATAAAAATAGTGATATTGTCTTTGACTGTCAAAAGGCATCTACTCACCTTTAGTTCTGTACCCATTATAGCCATTACCAGCATATGCTGTATAACAAATACAAACAAGTTAATATATTGTTGGGTAGGCTTAGCAATGCGAAATTACCTCCACTTACCCTGCCCTTGGTTTCTGGCAGGTTGGGGGCCTTTGAAATATCCCATTCCCACCGCTGGGACAGAAAAAATTATGTAAAAGATTAGTCATAGTCTGAGTTATGAGTTTCTTAAAATAAATAAAAGCCACATTACCTGGCCTAAAAGGAGGTTGGGTATATCCCTTCATGGGATTCCCTCCATGTCCTCCTTGACCTGCTAAATAAGGATAACATGCTTCAAGTACGTATTTATGTTTTTTTTAATCATCACATATTTCAAATTTAACATAGTTTTTTATGAATCATGAATCGTTTTATGGTTTCAAGGGAAAACATTTCATCATTGTGATGAGCAGTACAGAGGTTTCCGTTTTTAAGCCAACATTAGGATCTTAAAATGAATTATTTAATGCACAGAGAGCCAATAGAGGAAGAACAAAATAGCTACCATGTAATTTTTAAATGTATTACCATCTTGCCTTGTGAGGGTCCCACTGGATGGTCCAGCTGCAAGGCTTTGACCTAAGGAATAATTAATTTCATACTATTAACAGGGAACGGCTAAATGTTTTCAGAAGGTTTAACACAAATTTAGTCCAAACTGTTAAAGACTGTATCAGGTTTTGGGAACTCTAACAAAAATATTAAACATGCAGCCTATTTTGATCAGTGTGTCCACAAAGAGATTACCGTTGCCTTTAGTGCCTTGTTCTCCATATGATGTAAATCCACCTGCTTGAGCAGCGTAACCTGCAACAGCCGAGTTCTTCACTTTATGAGAGCTTAAAAGGACACTTTTATGCTCTCATTATGCATGGTATTTTATTTCTTAATATAATCAAGTACAGTTACCTTTATTTCCTTGTCCACCATATGCACCTGCAGGAGCACTATAACCTGTGATTAAAAAAAAGCACAAATAAAAATAGACGTTTTCTGTTTGGTCTACGGTTGTTATTATAGGTTTATATTAAATAGCAGAAGTTACATTGTTATAGAAAACATTAATATTGTCTTTACTAATAATAAGTACGCTAAAAATAGACTAGTTTCACGATTCTTTGAGGTAATCGCTCCACATCAGCTTTGATTTTTCACCTAAACTATTTCTTGCATTACCTTTGTGAACTCTTTCTATGAGTGATACTCATGACTGTATTTAATTTGAGTCGCTAAGACGAAGCAATTGAAAAAGCTATTTCTTTCACTAACTCTTACATGCGTTGCCTTCTATGTGGGAGGGTTGTGGAAACAATCAAAATCTAGATTAATATTTTTTTCTTAAAATAAGTGTATTTTTCTTTGATTGAGGAGGTAAAAGAAACATTTTGCAGATGGAATAAGACAACTTACACTTAAAATAAGGCAAAACAATTGCATTGTCCTTTTTCAAGTGCATATTATCTAATTATCTTATTTTAAGAGTTAAAAATACTCATTCCATTGGCAAACTATCTAATTTACCTACTCAAATTAAGGGTAATTTGAGTAGGTAGATTGTTTTTCCAGTGCAGTCAGTCCTGGTAGATGGTGGTTCACACCGAGTAGGTTCTGCAGGAGGTTTCTTCCTGCTAAAGGGGAGGTCTTCTCTCCACTGCTGTCATATGCATGTTTAGTATCAGGGATGACTGCTAAACTAACGCTAAGAAGCAATTATCCACTTCTGCTATAGGCTCATTCAATAGGAGCTAACTAATGTTGAAATTCTGTAATTTTCTGCACTCAGCTGGGTTTCGTTAGATAAGAAAAATGCTTACCAGTTGGAATAATTAACTCAACTTAAAAGCACTGGTTGATAATTAGGATTACATTTTTACTGTAGATGTGCACGGTGGTAGAAATAGTTATTAGACAGAAAAGATAGGCTTTAAAAATAACTATAAACAATGTTCAAAGTCAAACTAAGAAGGGAAAAACCAACATTTGGCCAGATGAAAAGAATCCAAAACACAGACTATTTTAGGAGATGGTAACCTCAATCTCATTGAACGTTGGGATGTTTCTGTTGATATTACGGTTTAAAGAGGAAACACACTTAACCACGAGTGGAAGAAAAGTACTTGTGTCTTATATTCTAAAAAAAAGGGCAAAAAATAAATTCTGCCAAAGTTTGTAGACTTATGAGTACAACTTTATGTAAAAATATTGATTTGACTTGAAATATGCTTCATTACAGACTGTATTACCATTGCCTTTGGTTCCTTGTGCGACATATCTACCAGCTGGAGCCTCGTAACCTCCTGCAAGAGTAAAATACCATTAAAAGAGAGGTTTAACAGAACAGTATGAGTAAATGTAACAACTTATACAACCTCTGGGTTGTTGTCTGCTGGATGGACCAGATATAACTCCATATTCTGCAAGAAATACAGGAATCATATTGTCTTAAAACAGTTAAAACACACTTTAAAAGAGTCTTTTAAGTTGATTTCCTTTAGAAATATAACTGAAAATAAGGATAAGAACAAAAAAACTAGCTTTGTCCTCAGGAAAAATGGTAAATTTTACTCAAATATTTACATAGAAATGATAACAAAATCTGTTCTACATGTAGGAAAGAAGCCCCCCTAAAATAAACTAGAGCAAGTTATTTGCTTTATTGCTTTCATTGGATATTTATATTTGTAGAAAACATACAAAAACAAATTATTGTTCTTTTTTTGCTCTTCTTTCAATTAAATTATGTTAAACCAGTCTTATATCTTTTTTTTTTTTCAAATGACCTATATTAGATGTAACTTAAATAATAATAAAAACAAAAAAATCAAAGTAATTTTCTGTCCACATTTTTGTTTGAAATACTCATCTCAAGTGGTCCTTACATCTTACATATATATTGTATAGTATTTTTCTGATTAAGTAATAGCCAAATAATAATTTGTTCACATGTTATAAATATAAATATAGACATTCACTTTCAAGAGCAACACTGAGACCCAAATCTGGGTTTTATCACCTCTCATTTGTTGCAGATTTGCTGTTCCGGCTTTATATCCATATCCTGCAAAAAAGAAGAAAAATAAGTAAAATAAAAGACTAACTATTTTCACCACAGAGACTCATAGAAATTCTACATCTACCATTAGCGGCTCCACCTCCTGCAGGTAAAGAGGCCAGATTTCCTCCTGTAGTGACAAAGAATTCCAGAGTGATAAACAGCACTGCTTGTAATTTGAGATATACAATATAAACCTCTTTAAACCTTTAGCAACAGCTCCATTTTTCATAACATGTTTTCTATTATCTGAATCTTTTAGTATTTAAAAAAAAAAAATCTTATGATACAATGTCCCAAATTTTTTTAACTATGACCAGTTTCATATTTACACTTATAGAAAACTGGATGGTTGCTTACTATGTAGCATGCAGGTACCGTTTTCTAGAATCTCCATTTAAAATCTGGACTGACCAATTGTCTCTAGAAGTCACAGAAATAACCCCATTAGACTGATATAATCTCAGTATAGAGATGTTGTGTAATGGCCTCTGAGGTTTATTACATTACGGAACAAACATGGTGTGACAACTGCAAAACTATGCTTGGACAGCAGTTTATACTGACAGAATGTAAAAAGTTGATCAGAGAAGCAGCAAAGAGGCTTAGGATGACTATTTTTGAGCTGCAGAGAATCAAATCCTGCCTTTAAAAAGAACTGTAGAGAAATTAAAGTTTGCTGCAAGCCATGTAAGGGGAGAAAGGTGCTCTGGTTAGAGGAGACCAAAATTGAACCTTCTTGGTTTTCAATCAAAGTGGTATGTGTGGCAAAAAAACAAACAAACTCCCCACTGCACACAATGTTCACACACCATCCCCACTGTAAAACACGGTGGTAGCAGCATCATTCAGTTGGGTTGTTTGGCGTTTTGTTCAGGAAATGGTATACTTATTCCTTTATTCCTATTGACTTTTTGTCACTAATCTGTTTTGAACAGCAGCTGCAGTACAGTTTACCTGCAAAATGACAGAAATCTAATATTTTTTTTGCATAAAATCACTATATTTTCTGTGAACTTTGGGAATAAGTAATAAGAATGTATATGATTTGCTAAGAGAATATACAATAAATTATTTTTAGTTTGTTAACTTGATGGATTTTTTTCTTAATTTAGCTAATGCAATGCTGTTAACTTAAAAAAAATCTATTGATATATTGCAGAGGTTGACATAAATATGGGCTCTAATAGTAAAGTCTAATCCTCTAACATCACCAATAAGAAGGCAATGTCACTGTTGGTTTGATGATACTGCTGGGAAATCCAGTATTTATGTCCTGATGATAACAATTTGTATGAACTGAATATCAGAGGAATTTGTAAATTTCATAATTGTGTGTGGTTTTTAGTCAACTGGAAAAGAAAAGTGTATTAGAAACATGTCAGGAGCAGAGGACAAAGTTATGGCAGAGGGTCTAATCAGAGGGTGATGAATGAAAGCCATTTTTCCCCCTCCCTCAACAAAACTGATATCAACAATTGCAAAATCGTTTTAAAAGAACTGAAATGTACTCATACATGTTCCCTGTTTTGAAACTGCTGCTTCAGACGACATTGTATTATTACAACTGAGAGACCTGAATTTCCCCACTGTGAGACGAATAAGGTTTTTTTTTATTCCATTTTATTTTTTAGTTCCTAAAAACCTTTTCTATGACACATCAAACATTCAAATGTCTTAAATAACATCACCTCTAGTTCCTTGTCCTCCATAGGCAGCATTCTGAGTAGTGTAACCTGAAACAAGAATAAAACTTGATTTAAAACACGCAGTTCTGAGTGTGAGCAGTTCTTAAAACACAAGTTAACCCACCTTTCAGTTGTTGTCCAATTGATGAGCCAGCTTTCAGTCCATATCCTACAGTAAATATAGTTGATTATGCTTTGCTCAGCTTTATCAGTAAAACTGAAATATTTAATACACCACATCTACTGTACCATTAGTCATGGATCCACTTCTAGAGGATAAGACGGCTTGATTTCCTCCTAGAATAGATGCATTAGATTATCAGAATAGGCACAAAAAAGTTATGTTTATTTGCAGAGATTGGTGTTATGGTTTTTAGTGTATAATAGAACTGTAGAATGTAAGAATTGATAGTAATATTTCTTCTGTTTAAAGAAAAGGGCCAGCACTTTTGTATGAAAGTTGATATAGAAAAAACCTTGTGCCATTATCTGCTCTGTGTTTCCATGTTGCATTAGGATCTAAAACTAAAAATCCAGCACAATTTTTAACCTTTTGATGCCCATTTTATGCCAGCGTTCCTACACATTCATTGTGGACCTAGCAACCTTTGGCAAGCTCTTGTTTCCATTAGAACTGATTCCTAATGGTGTTTGTTATGACGTTTTTACTGAAATTTTAATTCAGTAAAAACTTAAAGACACCTTTACATATTTATTTCTGGGGGGTAATTTTAACTCTATTTTCCTTTAATTGCTCCAGGAAACTACACCTGTCCTTGATGTTGAAAAACAACTTTACTTGGTATCATTTGGTAAATCAGAGCATCCTTTATTCCACTGTACATGTCACTGAGATAATTCATGAGTAATCGGTTGATTTCAAATAAACAAAATAATTTTATTTCCCAAAATCAAAATTTTTTTTACATTTGTAGATACATCAAAGATCCTAATCTTCAAATATTCCAATGAAGGGGCTCTAAATTGCATGTGGAGAGTTTTTGTGTGTGAATGCAATAAGCGGGCGTGTTTGAGGTGAAAGATTTCTGCAAAAATGGTAAGTTGAGCAGACTGGTTTGGTTCAGCCGAATCCATGTGCTGTAGGTAGAACATGCAAAGACAAATATGGTTCTAAGCCGTGTAGATATAACTATACTTATTTTAATAAAAACAATGATAATGCCGAATGATATTTATAGTACACTTCATATGGGTAGCCTAAAAAAGTAATGAAAAAAAACAACATTTGAAAAAAGTTAAAGCTTTTCTTTGTCTGGTGATTGAGTAGTACCGACTTTCAGAGATAAAAAAAAAAAGAAAAAGACTGTGGCTGCAATTGAGTTTCAGATTTGTAAAATTGCTTTGCACGTGGTAAATGCTTACATTTGCATATCCTACTATGAGTTTGCTTAGTTAGAATATGATCTGCATATTGATAAAGGCACACGCACAAAAAAGGTTTGTAGATGCCGTCTGCTGAATGGCAAATGCAAATCCCTTTGCAGCTTCTCTGAAGATCTGCTCTGCATATGACATCACGTTTTGAGTGTTTTAAGATGTTCAAACCTTCTGAATATCTGGTCCCAGATATCTAACAAATGCTTGGAGGACATTCAATAAAACAGCACTATGAAGCATGAGGGTATTAAAAATGTCTCCACAGCAAAGTGAAGTTTGAAGGAGTCTCCAAACGGGAGGTCTGGGGACAATTTGGAGCCTGTTGAATGATTTTTTGCAGCTCAACCTGCAATTCAAAAATTATTAAAAAGAAAATCTTCAACACAGGTGGCTGACAATGATTGATATTTTTTTATTTCAATTTGATCAAAATTATTAAGGATAGATTAAAATCTCTTCAAATTGGAAAATTATAGGTACCACCAAGTTTCCTTTCATATTATACAGTAGTAAATAGAACCACATGTATTCAGTAGATTTTACTCAAAATACTTTTGTGCACCTTAATCTGCTCCTTTCATACTCTGTTTTATTGCTCTTAAATTTACAGAATTTACAAATAAAGTATATGGCACACATGCCCTACCAGTTTTGGATTGGATTTTTGGAACTACAATGATATACACATTACTGACCACAGCATAAAATCTGACTACTTTATCCGTTTAGTCTCATATCAGCAATGGAAGATCAACTTTTTTCATAGAATTTACAGAATGAATACATGAAACCTACTATTGACTCCGGATCCTTTGTTCATCCCAGCAACAGCTCCATAACCTTCAGCAAAACAAAATTATATCTCGACACTTTATTAAATATAAAGGATTTTGAAAACAATTAAAAATTAACAGCATCTGAAGACAAAACTATAAATAAGGTCTGAGAAGAAATCATTTCAACTTGTAATACAATTTAATTTCCACACTAACCATTTCCTTTTGTTGGATACCCAGTGTGTCCATTTTGTTGTCCCAATGTCCGTCCAACACCTGATATTAAAAAATAAGTATTATTTGAATGAAACAAATAAGTGTGAACCTAAATCTTGCAGCTCTTCTTTACCTTTCGATGGGATTAGGAATGATCCCAGTCTGCCACCACGCTGAGGGACATTTCCTGAAAAAGTTAGAAATCATAATTAACTGACCAAAGATGTGTTCTGACAAAAAAAATCATCAAAACTGCATTTGTAAGTTATTTCAAGCACAAAAAACTAAGTGGGTCACCGTTAGGATGAGGTCCTTGTCCATTGGAAGCTCCATATGAGGCGCTATAACCTTATCATAACAAAATACATTTATTAAAAAGTGGTTTTGCATCAATTTCATCTCTGCAATCCAGTTTTACTTGTATGTTTTTGCAGTTTAGTTCAGCTTGTTAATGTTTAATAAAAAAAAAAATGTTACAACAAAGGTTTCAACTACTTGCCATAATGTCTCAGGCATTAACATGATTGACGAGAATAAGAATAAAACATAAAGTCATTATATTCAGCAACAAAAATAATTTGGATAGACAAATAGCATGATGAAGTTCACACATGGATGGATGGAGGGATATAATCATTTCAATATCTACTTACTGTAACGTATAAAAATTAGAGAGTTCTGCTGATGAAGATATTATCTAGTGTGCAGGGCCCTCTGAGGCTGGCTAATCTTAACTCTTTACTAATTTACTCACTTTAAAGTCATGTAGTTTGTCAATTTTCTATTCATTTTTACTAAAAAAAAAAAAAAAGAAATTTTTCACCATAGATTGTTTGGAGCTGCAAAACCAATTTGTCTTTTTAGTATCCAATTTTAAGAAAACCTTACCAAATAGAGAAAAAGGTGTTCTCACAACTCATGAAACTTTTGTCTCCATTTTTGTGTATTGTTAAGGTTAACATACATCACCTCTATCTCTAAGTATTTTTCTTAGGTTCCTTCTTAAACATATATGTGTTTTAAAATTAGGAATGTCATTTAATGGCCATTTTTAATCAATCCATCAAGCGTTTATTTAAGAAGTGTTGTGACATATGAGGCGTTCAAAGTGCTGCACAGTTGAATAAAAATACATAGTAAATTCATAATAAATGCTGTAAGCAATACAAACAATAAAAGCCAAACCACCGTTCATAGTCTGGCCTAATATAATGATGGAAGTTCCTCCATGAAAGTGCAATACTCAAAGTCTGGATCAGGATTTAAGAAAGAAATGTCCTAATGTCTTAATCTATCCGTTATCAAAGAAGAAATTATTCGATAATAGACATAAAGAAAAAATCCACGAGGCTACTAAAACTGTTTCATTTTTACTTTTTTTTTTTTTTGCCTAAGGCCTTTTTGATGAAATCACAAAACTGAATACATCACCTACATAACTAAGTAAATATTTATCACTTAAATATTGAAAACTGACAGATTTTGGAACCTGAAATTGAAAAAGTGGTGAACATTGAAGGGCAAAATGAGCTGGGACACAATTTAAATAACAGCTAATTTAAGATCACAAGAAGAAGACGAGTGATTTTCCTGTTTAGATTCTTAAATAATAAAATATATCTTTAAAAGCGTCAGTATGTCATAAAAAAAGAAGGCTGAGCCTTTAAACAATAAGCTGATCAGTCAAAATGATCAAGAATTCTTTTAAAGCATTTTATTACTGTAGGGATTCCTCTGACAAACATTTAAAGAACCTTTGAAAGTAATTGGAGTGACTGTGTGGATGAGTAAAACCATCCTCCTTTCACAGGTAGATGTTAGATTTAGACTGCTGCTGTCACTGAAGTCAAGCTACCTCTGAATGTCAAACTGAAGCCTAAAGGTCGAGTCACTGAGACAGAAGATATATGGCTGCATCTTATGGTCACAGCTAAAACAAAAACCTTAAGGTAGGTTGGTCACACTGAGCTTTGTGGATCTTGTCTCTCGGATTTTAGTTTAACACTGCTGTTTGAAATTTGACAGACAAACCCGACCACTTGAAAGACATTTGTCTCATACTTCCCTCCAGTCACCAAGTCGCCTGTCTCAATGCACAACACTGGCTTTGTAATAAATTAGTTCAATAATAAGAAAGGGCTGTGTTTACTTTAAAAGACTTGTTTTTTTTAAATTCTGGTTGAAATCAATACAATGCACCCTTACTTCAGGCTTAAGGTGGTTCTTTTTCTGGTCACTTGGATTTTTCCCTCCTTTTCTTACCAAAGTGCCGAAATTAAGTTTAGGTTTCATTCATGTTCCATCTGGTTATTTATCAGGATTTTTGGTGAAAGACCATTGCAAAATATCCGATGCTATAATTTTAATGTGGAAAGATTAACAAATGTATGGCTTTAAGACTGAATGAAGAACATTCAGGCGTATCGCTACAGCTACAAATCTTAAGTTTGTCGCTACCAGCTATGCACATCTGGAGACGGATATGTCCATTATTCTTTGCATAATTGAAAGAGGAAGTTCAAAGATAATCTATAAGCAATATCTTTAGTCTTGTCAAATATTTCCAATTAACTGACATTAGCTTTGATTGAAATCATTCCACTTAAGGTTTGACTAGGTTTTGCCCTGCTGCCTCATACATTGTTAAAACTTTTTTTCCCCCCAGGATTGTTCTGTTACCCGTTTGCAGAGTTTTTTTTTTTTGGTAAGCTTTCATGAGGGCAAGATTTGTTGATTGCAGGGATAATATATTGCAATTTGTTGCATTTTAGTAAGGGGTATTGGATTAGATATAGATAAGACAGACATTAAAAAGCATGCATCTTCTTCAGCTACATTTGACTTGGCAAGAAGAGTTAGAGTCTGACGAAGTCTAACAGAACTGTCAACTCCATCATCTCCATTCTTGGCAGAAAGTCAGTTCATAACTCAGACTCAAGAATTCTCCTTCTTGTTACAAAAGAAAACAGACATGAAAAGACATGTTAACACATTTCACAGAGACGATAATCCATGAGAAGATGGTAGAAAACCGACCCACTTTTTCTAAGGTGCAGCTGAGCAAAAACCTCCCAGTTCTCGATTTTAATTAGCTTGATAAACAAATAAAAAAATAGACAATCAAAAGCCCAAAGGCCTAAAGTTAGACATTAAATTGTTTAGTTAAACCTTTTCTTGTCCAGTCTTAAATTTATGAACAAAAGAAGAAAAAAGATCAAAGTAATAAAAAAAACAACTGTTTTTTACCTATGTGAAGGTTTTCAGATTTTGTCAATTAGTTAAGAAAAAAAAAGTTTTATCTGAGTGTGTTATTGAAAAAGTACTAAAGATATAAGGTATTCTGAGCTTTGCAGGCAGTATCAGTGATAACTTTAGGTGACTAATGATTTTGGAAAAAAGTGCAATTATAATAACAATTTATATATTTAAATGGAATATAAGCAAAGGTGTGTAAAGAAAGACAACAAAGCATTTCAAATTAGGAACTTTTGCATATTGCCTCAGGGGTCATCATATATAAATATATCACGGTGTAAAGATCCAAAAATGAAACATTGTCCATCTAAAGAAGTAAACGCTAAGGTGTGGATTACAACTTTGAAAATCCAATTAAAAAAAAAAACTTCCTTGGATGAGGGCAAACTGGATTTAAAACAATCTGACTAGAATTGAAAAGAAAGTTTATGCTAAGAAATTAATCTATGAGCATCATTACTTTGCAGTCCATGTATTAAAAACATTTTCTCAGGGATTTTTCTTGGTTGTTTCACTATAAGTCTGAATTGCACAATGATGGTTGAAATTGAAACAAAAAGTGGGGCGAAATCTCATAGAATACCCCATTATCTTGAGTGCTCAAACTTTTGAATATCCTTTTTATACTGTCAGAGATTTAACATATATTAAGTAATATGTAAATCATGTAATACTTTGGTTTGATAGTAAAATGAAAAAATTCAAAAGTACTTTTAATGTATATCTGAGCCTTAGAAACTCACCCCCTGTGTGTGCTGCCTGTACCAAGCAAAGAATCAGTACTCCTCGAATGACCAGCCGTCCTGCCATAGCAAACCTAGTTCAGACAGAACAGGAGATAAAGAAGGTCGAAAAGTAGGAGATGCACCCGAGCAGGGAGGATACTAATATACACTCTGGTCCAGGGAGTCCATCCCCTCCAGATCCTCCCCTGCTTGTTCTAAGATGCATTCAAGGTGAACAAATAATTGCCCACTTGAAATAAATTCCCACTTTACAGAGTGCAGCCAGAATGATCAGCTGGCTGAATGGGGCCTAGTGGTTAGAGCATTGCGTTTGGGTTCTGGAGGTTCTGAGTTTGACTCCCACAGTCTGCCACTCTGGGTCCCTGAGCAAGACGCTTAATCCCGCACTGCTCCCCAGGCGCCACACAGCGGCAGCCCACTACTCCTCAAGGGGATGGGTTAAATGCAGAGGTTAATTTGTCCAGTGTGAGAATAATAAAGCTCAATTATAAAGGATTAGTTAGCCACTTTGGAAAAATCCTATTTTATTGTTCCTATAGGTTCTGACACTACTGGAATCATTTTCAAATTAATGACATTCCCATGTGGGAATGTTGGAAACTGTAAGTCATATACTACTCTTATGTTTACCTTTTATCACTGTTGCACTTTAGAAATGGAAATGTCTTGAGAGCTGTACCGAACAAATTTTTTTTTTGTATACTCTCTGTGTGTACAAAATGACGATCAAGTCTGTCTAAGACTGGGTCATTTTCCTCCTTTACGGCTTATCTGAAATGTGGTGTTCCTCAAGGTGCCCTCTTAGGATATCTTCCATTCTCCATTGATCCATTTTTAGAAAGCAAAATTTGTCTTTTCGTGTGCCAATATGGGAACCTACCTCATGTTAAAAGCAAGTGAGAGATATTACATGATTTGTTAAACTGTTAAAAAATGAAGCAAAAAAAAAAAATGCATAGAGCTTAGCAGAATGTAGCCATGCAATTGGTCATTAAAATGCCGAATAAGGAACCTTGGGTCAATTCTGGTAAGTCTTAATTAGACAAATGGTTTGATGCAGTTTGCAATTCAAGCCATTTCAATTGGAAGCTGTGCCCTATGTGAGCAAATGACTGCCATATCTGCACTGGCTGCTTTTGGGATTTGTTTTAAGAGATTACTCTTGGTTTTTAAAAGTTTAGACAGCCGGTTTCCTGAGGAGAAACCCGATTGCCCTTATTTATTGGCAGCTGATGAAAGCAGTAATGATAGTCCCAAACAGATCAACTGCTTAAAGAATGATTCTGACCAACATCAGGTATCTGGATTGCTCCCATCTCAAATTTATCAAAAAAGTATGGACAATCAACCGGTTTAAATAGATGCTAGTATTTATAATCACAAATGGATTTAAACATTGATCCAGTCTAATAACAGAAGCCATTCAATGTTATTTTTTTATTTATATTTTCCCTTATCAAATGAGTAAAAATAGCCTACAAGTTTTCTGTGGTTTCCAACATGGAGACTTTGGAGTTGTCCTTTTGTGCATTTAAAGCTAAACGTGGCTACAAAAAGAGAAAGATGTCTCGCCTTTCACACAGATTCCTCACCTGAAGTCAAAATCCTGTCCTTATGAGGTCAAGCAGGGGTTAATGTCTCACTTCCCCTCACAGAGAACTCTCACGTACTTGACATCTAAACAGACTTAAAATTGTCTGTCCAGCTTTTGACCACCTGGCACCAAATAGGCATTTCATTTAATCACTGATTCTGTTTTTTTGGCCTTGGGATGATCAGTTTTTTAGTAACATAACAGACATGTTAATTTTCAAATTGCAATGGGCAGAATGTCTGAGTTGAATACTCATTTTACTTTGTGTTCAAGAGTTTCAAGGTTTAAAATGAAAAGATCATTGTTGGCTTTGATGTAAATCGTCAATGACAAGGACAAATTACTAAAGACAGCTTGATGAAAAGGGGGGTGCTTGGGTTCAAGGGGCCGATGAAAATGTTGTGGGAACTTTTTTCCAAATGCATTCCACAAGCAGCTATGTCCATGTATGTACAATGAAGAAAATAGGTTTTTGACAGTACAGTAGCCATTCCTTGCAAATACAGAGATCAAACATTTTCTGTAGTTTTTCCGACCAGGTTTGCACACAGCCTGGTAAACTAGCCCCACCCGCCAGCGGTCAAAATCATTTTTGCCTGCAAGTTTGGTCTAGCCTCGATCAATGCCCCAGGCCCTAGAACTGGCGGGCCAATCACAACACAGGGATGTTTTTTTATTTTTTGGATTCAAAGCGAGCGGGGTTTTGAGGGCGGGACGGCAAAGCTGCACGACGCTGGAGAAAGCACAAGGAAGATGGCAACAACTATTGAACTGTAGCATGCACTGCAGCATCAGCAGCTCCATTGGAGCGCTCCATTGAAAGTGGCTGTTCAATAAAAGTAAATTTTAGGATCATTTGAGGTGAGAATATTATACTTTAAACCGTCACTATAAGGTCCATTTATCAATTTAATGGGTTATTAAAAAAACAATTTCTGAAGTTGAGAAGACCGCAGCAATCAGGGGACCTCCGAAGCCAACGGCAACCAGGGCTAACCGCAGCCCATCTGCAGCGGCCCTCTCGGCATAATCATGTGAAGTACCGCTGGCTCTGATGGGGATTTTTGACTCAGCTTTGGAATCAATTCTGGAAGGATTAGACTTGGGGTTCTCTTTGAAATGTGAGCAGGAAGAGGCTCTACGCTCATTCATTTTTAAGGAGGATGTATTCGCTGTTTTACAGACAGGCTGTTTACACTCCTCACCGGCTTTCTGTCACGCTTACATCAGTCAGTTGCACTGGTCAGGGCGTTGCCCAATAGGCCGGTACGGTTCCAAAAGGGTAGTGTAAATGGGGCTTTAGTGTATTACCAACAGTAACCTTGGAAACTGTGGTCCGAGCTCCTCCCGTGTAGTTCTGCACTGATTTCTCACCTTGGGATCATTGAGACTCAACGAGGCGAGATCTGGCATTGAGCCCCAGTCCAAGGGAGACTGACACTTGTTTAGCTTCTTCAATTATCTAAATATTAACAGTGGACCTTTTTTACCAAGCTGCTTGACAATTTCCCCATAGCCCTTTTCAGCCTTGTGGTGTGCAATTTTGTCTCGTGTCTTTGGACAGCTCTTTGGTCTTGTCCATGTTAGTTGATCCTTACCAATGCAGCAAATAAATGGTGTAGAGTTGGACATTTTGAAGGCAGACTTACAGGTCTTTAAGGTCAGAATTATTGCTGAGACAGGTGTTAAAATACTTCTTTGCAGCAGTTAAAAAAAAAAAAATAAATAAATTGCATCGCCATTTCTGGATTTTTTATTTTTAGATAATTTTCTCGTCGCAATTTCAGACCCCTCGATGATTTCTTAGTGGGAGACCTTGCAAAATTGCAGGGTGTTCAAATACTTATTTTCTTCACTGAACATCCAGGTCAGGCAAACTGCCCAGCAAGGCTCCAAGATGGTGTTTAGGTTACAACTAAATAGATATTTTAACATTTTCTGACCTTCGTGGCAGCTTCAATAACACAAACACCAGCAGAAATGTTCAACATTATAATGTTAGTATAGGTAAAGGCCCCCTTTTGGACATAGTTAGCCCTGAAAACAGCAAGTTGACTGAAAAAGGGTAAAGATATTAATAAATATTGTATTAGTATCATTAACACATATCTATAGTTGCATATTAGACTCTAGTTATGAAAGGATATTGGGTCTAACAAAACAGAGATGAAAGAAAATAATTTGTACCTGGTATGAAAAGGACTAAACATTTTAGCCATGAAAGAAAAATTAGGTTTGGAGTAGTTAGAATAGGGTTTCCAATCTAAACACAATCTACCAACCATGGTGGTAGCTGCATTATACCAAGTGTTTGATTTAACCCCAATGATTGTGGTCCAGTGGGTCCATCCCAGGATACCAGCCAGCATTAACTACCTTTTCTGCAAGGTACAGTCCAGATGAAATGTTGGCATTATGAAGTGCACAATCAGGATCAATATCACTTTAATCCAGAAACAGGGCTCCTTTATTCCAACTGTACTCTTTGGTAACGTCATTTGGCTTATGTCATTTTAACCTTTGAAAGTGTAATAGTAAAGCTATTAACCAACCACGGTGTCTTGAATCCAACTAGACCTAGATTGACCAACAAAACCAGACTGATGTGTTTAACAAGGAGTGGAGGATTCCTTAATTACCATCCTTCAAGTCTGGTGTCCTGCAACTTTGTGATATGTCTCTGCTTCAAAACACCAAAGTCAAAGGCCCAATCCACAACCAGTAAACATGCAGAGTGTGTCAAATATGGCATGAGCATTACTAAGGTTTTTGCTGTTGACTCAGAAAAGATTGTGCATTTTTCAGTTTCATCTAGAACACAGATTTTATAGTGAGCCTGGAGTTCAGACAGTCATCTGCATTCCCCATTTTGTCACTCTTGACTGATGGAGCACTTCTGCAATGAAACGTTTTCTTACTAGGAATAACTTTTGTAATTGAAGTAACTTGAGCAATTCATGTACAGTTTCAGTCACATTTTTTGCAGCATTGCAGCATCCAAAAACACTTGAATTATTCCCATGCTAAACTTGACGCACTAGCTTGTGCATTACTAACATAAATTTCAGGCTCTTGATCAAATTTGATATTTTTTTATTCATATTGCAAGTGCTCTACAGGGGGTGCAATTTAAATTATTCCCATTTCAAAATCAATAAAGAAAATTTTTTACACAACTGAAACATAAGATGGAAAAATATGTCACACATCCCATTTAGCATCATAACACATGTATACACAATACATATTTACAAAATAACCCAAAACGACATTACCTAATGCTGGGTAGACAAATTCCTTTGATGTTTATATATTAGCAACAAAGTTTCAGCTTCACAAATATAAATAATCCGAGTCAGTATATCTACTGAAACTTATCTTAAATTGATCACCCTAACATTTCAAGAGCCATGAAATAAAGATAAATGTCAGATATAAGCCGATTGTTAGAAACATTAAAAGAAATTAGTTTAAATTAACAAGCTGCTTTGTGAAGGCTAAAGGGAGATAAAGTAAAACAATTAAAGGAAATAAAAAGGGGAAACCATTTAAGAAGGAATGTGAGAGGACATGTGAGGGTGAGGATTTTAAAGCAAAAAAGGTATATCACAATATTTCACTTATACTTTGCACCAAAGACAGCTTCTTCCCATCTAGGGTTCACCATAACCTGGACTTTGTCTTAGCATCTCTCTGGATACCATTCTTCTTAAGATGGTAGAGCCAGGCACCCAGTTGCAGACCTAAATAAAAGAATTTTTGAAATGGTAAAAAAATGTATTCACATGTTCAGGTTTAATGTTTTTTGTAATATTTTAAAAGACTTACTCCAAGTTGCTTTTTAGTTGATGCACAGTACGCTTGTCAAGATACCTGCAAAAGAGTGTTAGCAGGTTTGAAGGAAGGAGAAGCGGCTCCACCAGCGAACACTGGGACAACTGCCCTGCTACCTGGAAAATGATGTCAGTCCTACAAAGATGACAGGAATGTGAAAATGTCAACATTTCAACTTTACTTAAAGAATTTAAGCTTAAAAATTTTCCCCACCAGGTCTCAAAGTCTCCAATGCTGGGCTCAAGAGGAACACCTGATGAAAGCAGTTTCTCCCCGTGGGAAAGAAGAGCATACAGCAGGGTCAGCCCAAACTAAAGGGAGAACATTCATTAGAGAAAACCTCAAGAACAAGATCAGATTCAGAGCAAAACACACCTTGTTCTGACAGGCCAGAGAAAGGCACTCCAATGTTGACAGAGACTCTGAAGACGTAAGATCTCTGAGGACTTTGATGAGCTGGCTGAACGTCAGTCCACCAATCACGTTTCGGAGCGGCAGATAAAGCACTGGAAGGGTCTGAAGTTAAAAGGACTGATTAATTCCCAAATACATAAAAGTAAAAGGTTTGATATAATAGTTTACTGTTGAAGACTAAAGACTGGATCCAAATTGACCCAAGCCAAGTGCCTACAAAAAGCATTTAATTCTGACCCACCTCCTCAGTATCTTTGCTCATCACTGTAGGAAGGTTAGATGCAATGATGTGCAAGATCTTTATCGCTGAATCATTCTTTAAGAACGGCAGAAGACGAGCAAGGAGCTTTTTGCCTTTCGATACACTCAAGACAGGAAGAAATTCTGTTCCCGAATCTCTAAATGGGAAATTAACCATTTATTCCACATACGTCATGTTGACTAGTTAAAAAACATCCTTATGGGGATGTTCTATCGTCTTCCATTTTTTCTATGGTATAATTAATAATTACCATTACCCCACTACAAACTCAAATCACACTTTAGTACTAAATCTAACCCAAGAAGAGAACTACTTAGGTGGACAGGTCAACCCCCATACGTTTTTATAAGTCTACCATCCCAACAGACTCACAGAGAATCATGGTGCTGTAGCTCTGAGTAGATGTGTTCAACTTTCCTCTGGATTTTTTCCAACAACATTGCATCTTCTGCTTCAGAAGAAACTGGGGTCTTCATCCTCTCCGTTTCCTCCACCTCAAGCAGAACTATGAACAACTGCAGGGTAGAAGAAAATCAATACCAAATAGTGTGGACTGCACATTTAATAAGATGAGGTCTGCCAAAGAAGTTGCATAATATACCAGTCTGCAGGTTTTTATTCCCACTTGTTAGACGTAGACAAACTTTGTCATTTTGTATGCACAGATTGTATACAAAAACTAAATTTTGTATTGTACAGCTTTCAGAACGTTTCCATTCCATAAAGTGCAGCATTGAACAAATTTAAACGGTGTGGGAGAAGAGACATGATACAAAAACACAGATATGGAAGTTTTGAACATCAAATATGTATGGTGAAAATATGCAATGTTTTGGTTTTGTTCTCAGTGAGATGCAGAGTCTTTGACATATTTTAGAGTTTTCTCAACAGTTCAGCCATCTGTCAGTCTGGAAAAACTTGCAGAATCTGCTTCGAAACCTCTTCCAAGTGGGCAGCAGGGAGAACAGTCCATGGTGGGGATGTAAGGGGTCAATTATAATGTTACGGGCTTGGGACATGCAGCACTGGGATGAAATCTCTTTAACAGAGGGAGGAGGAGCCCCAATGATCCCCTCTGCTGTTCTTACCACACCTCTCACTTTCTTCCAGTCCGAGGAGCTGTAGCCTCCACACTACAGGGAGACAGCTGGCCAGAAAGCTCTCTATGGTCCTTCTGTAGAAGGTTGTGAGGATGGATGGGGGCAGGTGGACTCTCCTCATCCTCTGGAGGAAGAACAATGCTTCTGTGCCCTTTTGACCAGAGAGGTTGCGTTTACAGTCCAGGTGAGGGTGTCTGATGTGCACCGCCAGGAATTTAGTGCTGCTGACCACCTCTACAGCTGAGCTGTTGATGAGCAGTGGAGCGTGGTTAGGCCGGTTCTTCCTGAAGTAGACAAATCTCCTTCGTCCTCTCCACGAGATATTAGTTTTTAAACTCCAAATTTACTCTTAAACACAGCTATGAAAAATCCCTGAAATGCAAATGCATCCAAAACTTGAATAGTTAAGGATTTAAGGTTTTGTAATAAATTAGAAAATGTTAAATATTGTTGCCATTTAAACCAAATCAAACCACTGCCACTTTCAATGACTGCTGTAGTTTCAGAGTTATTCAGTGCCTGTGTAGATATTTGATATTCGATTCTTTTCAGTTAGAACACTTAAATATCTGAAGTCACATTTCATTGAATGTTTTAAATTGACTAAAGGCAATAATATACACTTAATGAACAAAATATATTCTGTTCTTTCCTCAAGTCCTCTGGGCAAAATTTTTGTGCTACATTGAAGAAATATGAAGGTGGTATTAAGCAACCAGCCTCATGTATTTCATATGTTGTGCAGCAAGTTCTAATAAGGAATTGAGTTTGTGAGCAAGAAAACTAAACTAAGTTCTTGGATAAACTAACAAATAAATGCTCTTGTGAAAAAACAATGACCAGGATGAAAACACAGAAGCCATGAATGTTCTTTGAGATACAATGAGAAGCATAGTTCATAACTTAAGGGTAAAAATTACACAACCACCTGGATGTTGCAGAAATGGCTTCCACCCAGCAGACACTGAGATTTCAATGTAGATCCTTAGACTCAAAGACCAACAAGTCTGCTCTAACTTACACATACAAACTAAGGAGGCTTTAGAAATGTGTTCTGTGAATGGTCCACTTGGAACTGAATGTTTTGGGCCAATAGATCACTGGCATTTTGTAAAGAGGGATGAAGCAGGCATTGAATTTATACCAAGCCTACTGTACATTACAGACTGAAAATCTGTAATGTACAGTAGGCAGATCTGAGAATGAATCAGTTATAAGGAAACCTGGGGAGTAAAGAGTTGCTAAGGAAGCTGAAGCTTCTGAGTCATTCAAATCTTAAAAAAAAATAAAAATCTTTAAGTTCAGGGCTAATGATCTTTGGGTGCCCGTCTATTTGCCAGGAGAATTATTCTTATTCCATCTGGTTCAAGTGACCAGAGCAGTGGGGCGACAGTATCATTGTGTGCAGGAGTTTGCCCTGCAATCAGAGGGTTGTCATTCAAGCCCTGCCTCCAGCTTACAGTCCTGTGCCGTGTTGTGTCCTTGGGCATTGGCTACTGATGGTGGTCAGAGGGATCGGTGGCACCATTGTACGGCAGCCTCGCTTCTGTCAGTAAGCCCGAAGGGCAGATATGGCTACAATGTAGGTTGCCATCAGTATGTGCATGAATGGGTGAGTGACTAAACGTACTGTAAAGCACATTGGTCAAGTCTCCTGACTAGAAAAAGCACTATATAAGTACAGGCAATTTACCATTAGAAGACCAGCAGAGGGAAACTGAATTTAATAATAAATAGAACAAAATGACAGAGGTAAATGCCATCGATACCTTTTCTATTTTGCTGAGAATCTCCAGTCGCTGTTGTCTGGTGTCTTTTAGTTCCTTAAATAAAAAATAAAAAAAAGGAGGCAGATTAAAATGTTAAGACCTCATCAACAGCACATACAAGCGTTAAGCAACTGACCTCTAGAGGACAATGAGTCTGAACTGCATTAACTGCACTAATGGCACGACGAGGAGAGTAACACGTGGACACAGCGACTTGACCCAGAGAGCCTTCGATATGGAAAACTGAGAGACCAGAAGAGCTTAAGAGTTAAAAACCAGCAGCAGAACATTCCTGAGACTAAAATTAGGAAAAAAAAAAAAAAATGGAAACCTGGTGCGTATGCATCAGTTTTTGTGATGTACGGCGTTGTGAGCTTAGGTGGCTCCTTCTTGCTTCTCATGCCAAGCTCTTCTTCCGCCATCTTGGCTTCTAATCGGCGATAATACTCCTAGTCAAGAGCGCAAGTCGAAAATTCACTATAACAAAATAAGCATTTATATAAACGTTTTATTTTACTACCTGATAGTAATAGTCATCAAGGTATGGATTTTCGCTTTGCAGTTGAATCATTTGCAGGCGAATGATCCACTCCTTTTCTTTGGTCGTCATGAGGTTACAGTAAGGGTCAGAGCCTTGAGACTTCCTAAAAAGTTTAATGTCATTTTTCTGATGCCACTTTAAATAAACCCTGTGGTTAACATAGGACCAACCTTTGAAACAGATGCTGTTTTTGACTAAGAAGTCGTTTGTGCTGAGGATGGAGCTGTGTGACAGGATCACCGTAACTGTTAGGCCAGAAAAAGAAAAAAAAAAACGTACAGAGGTTTAATATAACATGGCATACAGATGTTCTCTAAACAAACTAGGATCTATTTGCTGTAGCATCATCTGGTGGTTCATTGATTCCAGCTGTTGGTGCATCTAACTGACAGTAAATTGCTCATAATTTTTTTTTTTTTTTTAACTTGACCTATTGCAGAAGAAATTCCAGCAAGAAATCTTGCACCATTTCATTCAAATTTCCTTGGGGTGGGATGCAAACAAATTTGAAGCAACAAGCATGCCAAATTAATTCTTAACTTTTCCCAAAACATCCAATTTGGCCCTTTGAGAGGTAAAGGATGATAAAGTTACCTGAAAGGCTGCACTCGGTTGGTCGAGGGGCTGTAGAAGGGGGACGGTCTAGGAGAGTCGGCACCGAAACGAAGCTGCATTATCTTGGGAGTCAGCGGCCGAGGAGTTGAGGGACAAGGACGATTTGGTGGAAACATGAAGCCTCCTGTCTGATTTGGCATAAAAAGTAAACAGTTCACCAATTAGAGATGTACTTCACCTTTTATTTTTATTTATTCGTTTCATGCAGCTCAATCTAAAGTAAAAGGTTCTTAATAAAACCTGGTTGAAATGTTGCCGTGGGGTCAATGGTTGACGTGAGAAGATGGGTGACCTTGGCATCATTGGTGAATGCATCTGCAAAACCAAAATGTATAAGAGTTGACACAAAACCAAAGAAACATGCCTGCAGCCGTTTAACGTCTTTATTTTTTTTAAATCTGTATTGCATGATACAAAACCAAGCCCACAAGAAGCTACTCTCCACAAAGTTCGATTATGATCCTCCTGTATGGATGTCAATGGTGGGAGGAAGCCAACTTTAGCTTGCCAGCATCAGTCTCACTAAAATGTGATTTCCAATTATTCTACCAATCAGGGAATCACATGCAATTTTTTCCTGGTCTATTACACAAACCACAGAAAACTTAATGTTGCCAACACCACATCAACATAAATGCAAACAAATAAAATTCTTGCACGTAAGCTGGTGACGGGGAAAAATAAAAAGGGATGGTGTCCACGCGAGTCCATTTTTTATTCTTTAGAATAATAATAAATCTGAGAGAAAATTTCAAAGGGATCTACACTCCTGACCTTTGAAATTGGTCAGTAGTATAACTTGCCTGAGAGGGCCCTCTTTGGCCAAACAGCATTCGATTGTAGGGTCCTCCTCTCTTTTCTCCATAGGAAGAGACAGGGTATGACAGGTCCAGAAGGTCAGAGTTCACACGTTGACCCCGCGCTCTGTGGCCAATCACACACACTATGGCACTGTCCTACAGATTTAAACCCAACAAATAAGATAATGGACTCAAAGATAAAGCCTTAATTGAAACCTGTCATGTTGAAACCACATTTTCCTCCTAACCTGGAGTATCGATGCAGGTGCTCTCCTGTTTTTCCAGTAGGGGGGCTGCGTTCTCTAGAGAGAAAAATTAGTAGATATTTAGGTAGCGCCACCTGCAGCCAAAGGAAATGCTAGTTTTAGCTCTTACATTGTCCAGAGAGGTATTTCTGTACACTGCATGACCACAGTCCACTATAGCGCTGTCGACACTCTTAAAGGTGAACAACAACAACAAAAAGGATCAGAATAGTTATAAAACTAACAATGTAAACCAAATTCAGAGCAGTTTCTAATCACCATCAGGCTTGGACGTCCCTCCACTATCCTCATCACAGCTGGGTCATCAAACATCTGCCCCCTGCCCAGTCCTCCCCTCCACCTCGGTCCTCTGATCCGCTGCCATTGGGCAGCCCGGGCTGGATACTGTGGCAGATACTGAGGCCTCTGCCTGGGAGGGGATGGAGGGGATGTGCTGGGGGACAAGGGTTTGGGGTCCGTATTCGGTGGTGGTGTCGAAGGCAGTGGCTCTCCGAATGAAATACCACCATTGTCTAAGGAGTTTGCCGTCCCGTTTGGGTCAACATCTAGGATAAATACACACACAATTATTACTTCAGCAAATCTATACTATTTTGGCTTCAACAATATGGAATCGGAATACAGGTCTATGGACTTCCAGAGGTTAAAGCACACGTTTTCACACCACAAGGTGGAAAAAAACAAAGAAAAATTCAAGAACTTGGTTACATCTGCACCTCCTTCTGCCCACAGAGAAGCAGCTAGTTTTGATGATTCAGAAAATGATCCATCTGAGAAGATTTTTTATTCCTCCTGCATACATTTAGTCAGGTTTGAGTAGATTTTAATAAATCTGGTCAGGCTGTGCATTTTGAGGACAATTTCAATATTTATCTAATGAATTCTTCATGTCTAGTCAGATAAATTAAGCAATCTTTGTCACTAGCATTTTTTACTTCTTTACTTTCCAACGCAGATGTATGTGCTGCTAGTTTCAGTTTTTTTGGACAGGCTTGCATGAAAAAAATAAAATGCATTTGACATTTCATTGTTAATATTTATTCACTATACCCAAAATCTAGGACTGTTCTATGAAAATGTTCAGTTCAACTAAACCATCACTGAGTAAGTGACCTGAATTGACCACATGCTGATCATTTATAAAAAAAATAATTGAATTCTTTATTATTCTCCAACTGTATTCAATTCTTCCATTTAAAACTATGAAATACTCAAAGACTGCATTAGCTTCCTTTGGTTTTTTGTTTTCTGTACCCTTATGAGATTGGAAGTTATTGCAGCAGAGCAAGGCAGAGGAACATATGCCTGAAATGCCTTCATGGTCTTACCCATCCCAAATGTTTCCTCGTTAAAGATGTTTATCTCCTCGTCTTCCTCAGCCATGGCCTGCAGCAGATCACTGTCCATCCCCGCCTCATTCTCTGTGTCACTCCATGACCCTCCATTCTCAGGCCACTGAGCTTCACTCACTTTATCTGATTCCTGAAGTTGAAAAAAAAAAAAAAACTCATCTAAAAACAGTAAATTTTTTATTTGACCTTTATTTAACTTAATTAAGATCAGGTTTTACCTGCACAGCTTCTTGACCAAATACACTGAATAAGAAATGACAACCACTTACTTGTTGTTCTGAATCACTCATGGTGTTCCTAGAAAGATTTACAACACTTGAATCCAAGCTCTCACGACTCCTTTCCATTCAGCATGATCTGCTTTTTTCAGCTCGGACACCAGGAGACGCTCATTAACCTCTAAATGAACACACCTGGGCGGCGTGGAAACGTCATCACGCAGCTGTCGCCTCACGAGCTCATTTGTGCTGCTGGCACGTTGCGTCTCTTAACTTTTCGTCCTTCGATTTGAAAAGTTTGGAAGTTCAAAGAAAACAACGACAAACAAAAAAAAAAAAAAATAAAAACAGTGAAACGCAATTTCCAAACGAAAAGTGAGAGATTGGGGCCCTCTGCTGGTCCAAATCAGCATTATCTGCTCATTGTTTACTTTGAAATGCTTGTTAGTTAATTATTCGGCATTAAAAAAAATAGAAAATAAAATAAATAAATAAATAAAATCACATATATATATATATAAAAAGAGAGAAATAAAATTTGCACCCATTTATTCTCATGCTTTATACTAAACATAGCGGCAGTTTAAAGAATCTGACCTGGGTCCCCTGGCGCTCGCCTTGGTGCTCTATTGAGCATTTTTCCTTTGGATAAACTTTACATGCAAAAGTTAACTCTCACAAACAACTACAGGTGTTTGGCTCCAGGGACTTAGAGATTCACTTCCATACAGAAAGCCCATATTCTTATCTTCAGCTACCACAGTATAAATGTCAGCCGTACAGCTTCACTTGTGAAAGCAAAATCTGTTGGGCCTTCTTTTTAGCATCAAGTTAATTATTCTTATTGCCACATTGCCAAAAAAAAAAAAAAGAATCTGACATGCTTAAAAAAGGAGAAGGTAAAGAAAAATATTAACTAAAACATTAATCAAATTTAAACAAACACACATAAACAACAATAGTTTAACATTCCTTATTTGTGTAAAGAAATATCATTGACCCAAAAATCGGCTTAAGATCCTGCAGCTGTAGAGTTGCTAGTTTGACTCTGCATAGGGACTCCTGGCATCTTTAGCCAAAAGGCCTGAACTGCCCAGTGTTTTTACATATAATTATGATTCTAAAACGAATGCTTTTTATCAAACCTTTAAGGAAATATTTAAGCAAGGTAAGTTTAGTTTTTAGCATATTTTATCAACATTATAATATACTTTACATGGTATTCTTTATTACATTTATGTTTCTGCTTTACAAATGTTTTTTTATTATGTTGTAATAAAATCCAAACAATTTTATTATTAGCTGTTAGTGGAAAATCGTCATAACTGATAAAAAGCCTTTCAAAAATCCATTTGTGTGGATTGAATCTATATTATTTTTGAATTCATTTCATTACGACTATTATTGACTATTGATAGTAACAAACCAATCAAATATTAATTTTATCTGTTACTAATTAATTCAAAAATACTGTTACTAATCAGTTCAATAATACCACCAATGATGGTTTAAGGAATGAGTACTAATATCTTTTGTAAATTATGACAAAATTAAGTCAAAATGACTCATTGGCTTTTATTTTCCTAATCTATTCCAAAAAACAAACATGTAATACTTTAATTATGTTTAAAAAAATGTTGGAAAGTGATTTGGATGTTGTTAAAATACATAGAAAATAAATAATTATGAGTAAAAAAAAATCATTTTTTAAATCAAGTTTAATGCATTAATTAGCAACAGACATATCATATTCTGCATTTACTGCATTGGAGTTCTACTGTACTTGTACTCATTCTTGTCGTCAACTGCTTATCCGGGACAAGGTTGCAGGGACAGCAGTCTCAGCAAAGATGCCCAGACTTCCCTTTCTCCAGACACGTCTTCCAATATGCAGCTCCTTTCTTCCTTTACTTTTGTCCACCTGAAGATACTTGATCTCCTCTGTTCGAGGCAAGAACTCTTCTCCGACCTTAAAAGAACAAGCCATCTTTTTCCAGTCGATAACCATAGCCTCTGATCCAGCTTTTCCTCATCCCGGCTGCAAACTGCCCCAACTCATGTTGTAGGTCTTGGATAGAGGCACTTTCTGCTGGTACCCAAACCAGAGCCTTACAGCAATAGCTACGGCTGGCAGCATTAACAACTGAGGCAGAGAACATGGTCCACTCTGATTCCATGTCCTCAGCCTGCCCCTGAATCAGGGAGATGGTCTTATGGGCGGACAAGTCAAACATTCCCAATAGATTCTCACTTCTTCCTTATGCCTTTAGAGTCTACCCAGCTTACTCCTCTTCCAGCGTATCCAGCTCACCACCACATGGTGATTGGTGTCCTGGTTCCAAGTGCACATATGGACATCTTAATGCTGGAACAGCATTATGGACAATCCATGACTTGTTCAGTAGTCCAATAATGAAACCCCACTTTGGTTCAGAGCTCCCAATCACATCCCTCTAGATTCTCTTGGCTGTTATAATTTCCCACATGGGTGCAGTCACCCAGCAGAATGATGGAAAACCTGAGTTGAGTACTATCCAACAACTGTAGCCACTCATTGCCCATGGTAAACTTAAAACTGGGTAGGAGAGAAACCGACCCAGAAGAGAGTTCAGCCTCTCTCAATGAGCAGGGTTCTAGAGTCATAGCGGCCATTGTTAAGGGCACAGAGGCCTCAGCCTCTGATTGCTGCCCAATACTCTTAGCTCTGGTTCATCATAGGTCCCCTGGCAGGTGATAGGCTGGCTGGGGGATGGCCTCACATCAGTCCTTTGGGCTTGGCCTGGCTGGGTCCCATGAGAAGAAACATAACAACCAGGTGTTCCTTGACAAACCCAAACTTCGGGCCTGGCTGCAGGATGAGGTCACTGTACCAGGGAATGTCATGTGCCTTGATTCTGTCCTCATCACCAGGGCTTCTTGATCTTTGACTGACCCTTCACCCAGAGCCTGTTGGGAGACTCTACCAGAGGCATTTAACCCACCGAAAACATAGCACCTGGGATCATCTGAGCACTGAAACCCCTCCACCAAGCAAAAGTGGCAGTTCACCCCATTTTTGTGTTAGTAATACCATTACCAACTGGTTGAAAATAAAAGGCCTCCATCTATATTCACCACCTGTGTCATCGGCAACATCAAAATCAGCCACCCTGGACAGGCCTGGTTCTAGCAATTTTTCATTGCTTCTTTTTGTTTTTACACTGCAAAGGCTCTTCTAGTTTTTTCAGCTCTTGACATATTTTATTTATTAGGAATAAGTGCAAAAAAGACAATTATGGATCGTATAGATAGTTAAATCGGTGTTTCTATTCTAATTTTGCTCGCAACAATAACTTAAAAAAAGACAAAACATCATAAAAACATCATCTTTATTTCTAGAAAAGCCTCTGGGATTTTGCAGACAGCAAGAATAAGTGAATGATACCTAACTTTAACCATATGATAGTTTACATAAACATTTTTAGCGATCAGCAAACAGTACATAAATGCAAATGCTGTGAAACGTGTACTTATTGCATTGAAAAGCGAATATATTATAGGACTCTTTTTTTCATAACAATAAATCTCTTGAACTGAAGCGCAATACATTTTATCTGATTCTTTATTTTGGCAAAAAAAAACAACTCAATTTTAGTGCATGAGGGAATCATTTGGCACTGTTTTTAAAGTTTTGTCTCCACCCAAATTTTCTAATAAACAAACATGTGAGGCGTTGGGTGATCTGCAAAGAGCCCTGCTCCATCTTTACTTGTGCACTAAATAAGCAAGAACTATTGTAAAAAAAAAATACATCACATGGCTTTTTATTCAGGGATCAGAGCTGAGCTTTGGAGAAGTGCCTTTAACCAAACAGCTTGATGAAGCAGGGGTGGCAGTAGGGTTTGCTCTCCTGCTCCTTAAAGCAGCCTTTGCTCAGGGGCTTCAGGCAGAAGTGGCACACCAGGTGGTGGGGGTGAAACTTGGCCCCCATGGCGGTGACGCAGCGCCCCAGGATGGGCTGCTGGCAGGCCTGGCACATGCTGCCGCGGGACTGGTGGTAGTGGGCCTCACACAGCGGCTTACCATCATGCTCGAAGAAGCTGCCATTGACGAAGGGACTGTAGCATTCCTGGTGGGGACGAGGATCAAGACGAGGATTCAGACACAGCAGACAAACAGAAAACATCTAACCAGGCTATCGAGAGTTAACTCGGGGTAGATAGGCAAACTCAAAGACATAATTTAAGTGTAGGACCCTTCTGCTGCAAGGATACCTACTGCACCACCATGCAGCCCTTTAGAAGAAATACTTGGCATGTTTTTGAGACTTAGGATTTAAATAAAATTTAAAATTTTTTTAACAGTGTTTAAAGGCTACTCAGATTTTACAGAACTGTTCTAGTGTTCATGGATTGCATATAAATGAATCCAATGAAATCATTTGAAGAAATATCCTCCAAACCCAATAAGTAGTTTCACAAAAGCCTTCAATATTAGAAAGTAATGCATGGTCACTTTAGTGGACTGTAGTATAATTAAGGGTATAGAGGAGGATTTTCGCCAATTTTTGAAAAGACCTGTCCTCTACACTTAAAAAAAATGCACATGCTCAACCTGTACCCGCTCCCGAGAGGGAACGCGTATTAAACATGTTGCACGAGCCCATTTCTCCTCGTGCACGCTCTGTTTAAAAGTTGTTGTTTACGAGCTTACTTTCTAAAAGATTAGCAACTTTTTCATTATGTCAGATTCACCACCAGTAAGTGAAAATGGGGACGAGCATGTAGGACGGCCTTACGTAAATATATCATTAGAATGATTGACAGTTAGGAGGACCCCTTTTTTTGATGATCCACCCGGAAAAAGAACATCTTCCACTATACATTTAAGTTTTGTTCTTTAAATAGTTTCAACAAGCTAAAAACAGTGATAGTAATCATGCTCCAATAAAGGGAACAGTACTGATTGTGGAAAGTTTTACAGGTTTTAGTTCGACTTTAGCCCCCCCTTAAAAAAAACAAAAAAAAAACAATCTAATAATTTGGTTTGAAAATAACAAACATATAGCTAGAATTAATAATCTTAAATAGGGTTTAAATAAAAAAAAAAACTGAAG